AAAAAAAAAAAAAAAAAAGAAATAATTTAATAATAATTGTAGCCAAAAGTTCCGAAGAATTTCGGTATTCTGTAATATATTCAATGAAACAAGAAAAAAAGAAAAGATTATATAAATTATATTAAATCCTATATAAATTGCAATGATCCACTAAGAAATTTGTTTTTTTTTTCTAAAATACAATAGAAAACAAAAACATAAATTGTTCAAACGAACATTAAATAAATCGAATCGTCAATAAACGATGTTTCTAACAATTTTAATATCGATCTTTTGATTTCATACGGTAATCATAATAAATAACGTTAATTGCATCATTTAGTTGGCTGAACATCGACACAAACGGAACAAATGACACATTAAAATCATTATTTTTCTAGTTGGCTGCAATAAATAGCGATTTTAAATAGGTCGTCGCCGGCGACACGAGTCCAGCTGCTGATCTTTTTTCTCGTTTTCTTTTCTTTCCTTGCTTCTTAAACGTTCTAGTACTTTTACAACTATTTTCATCTCTCTCAATAAGCACGCACACACGCACTCGCGAAGAGGTGACACGCGTTACAAGCTTCGAAGAGAACAAGCGATAATTGCACTTGCTGCACGAGAACGCGTCAAAAGACGATCCTGTTGCATTTAAAACGGTCACATTTCAACTTAGAAAAACGTACACTATATCTGTTTTCGATATTATGCTTGTTAATATTATTTGTTTCTTTTCTTTGCATTTTTTATCGTTCTCTAAAGTCTTCCATCCTCTTTATCGTCCCCTCTCTCTCTCTCTCTCTCTCTCTCTTTTTCTCTCTCTTTCTCTCTCTCTCTCTCTCTAGTTTCTGTATTTTTTAACTCTTGTCAAACACGATTTTCTATTTTCCAATTAATTGCGAATATATTGCGAAATACCGTTGAAAAATAATTTCATGAAACAAAATTACAAGAATTACAAAGAATTGCAATTATCAAACTGAATCGATAATTATTGTTAATAATTTGAATTGTACACATATATTCTTTTGAACGGTATTACGCCTTTTTTTTAAACTCGAAAGAAAAATCGATCAAATTTCACGAGTGATATGACATGATTGAATTGAAACATTAAATTAATATTTTTTTTTTTCTGGCAAGACTCGTAATAACGAGGGAAAAAAAATTAACGAAAAATTAAGAAATATTTTCATTCTCGCAGATGCATACATTCTATCTCTTTCACACATACATCGTCTTCTAATCTTCAGCATATAATATACAATCTTTCTTTTTCATGCATATATTCGCATTTCTCGTTTTCTTTCATCCCCTCTCCCTCCCCCGTTCACGTTTCTCGATCTAGATCACAAGTTTTTTTTCTTTCGCATATTTACGTTCCGTAATTATATAGAAAACGAAAAGATCTTGCTACGTTATCTCGAGATTCAAAGTCACGCGTTATAAATCTTTCAAATATATTCGATTAACTTTCAAACGAACGAATATTTATGTATTTACTTTTTTTTTTCTTTCCTATCTTTTCTCTGCTTTCATTTTGTTTTCTTTCCTTTTTTTTTTTTTTTTTTTTTTTTTTATTATTATTGTTGCTTTCATTGAAATAAGAAAGAGAAATTCAGTAGGAGGTGAAGACGAAAGTCTAGGCACTAGAACGTATAATTCTACCCGTATAAAATCGCAGAATTAATAATAATCCCGAATTCATCGTTCGCAAGATCGATGATGACATTCAGACACAGCGACGATTAATCTCGATTATGAATATATCATTAGCAGTTAAATAGAATATAATTACTTCATCATGCTGTACGGTAGTCACGTAATGAAGATTACATACACTTAATATTTTTTTTTTTTTTTCATTACATCTCTCGTGCGGATCTAGGCGCAAATAGTATTCCGTAATAAAAATAAGGAATATATGTATATTATATACATACATATTTTTGTTTCCACTGGGATCTATAATATTTTTATGTCAAAAGGATCTACTTTTTTTTTTTTTAATATTCTAATTAATAAACAAAGCGATGTATATTATTTAATCACACTGAAATTAAATGTATATGTACTATTCCACCAAGCTCCGCTTTTTTTTTTCTTTTTTTTTTTTTTTCCTTTTTTTTTTTTAAGAATACGTATATGTAAATATGTAATCTGTGTATGCATGCAATACGTGATATAAAGTCGCATTTTTTCCCCTAGGAATTCTCTCATTTTAGCGGAAATGTTCATATCTTTCTTTATATATACGCATATCTTCGTGTATAAATATAGAAATATATATTTATAAAGGTATATATATATATATATATATATTTATATATTTATACTCGTAAGCTTTTGTATTTATATAATCTTATACTTCACTGTTCGATCATTCATCTGATATTCGCGCACTTTACTTCCATTTTATTTCCACGCTCTCTATTAATCGAAAGAGAACGAAGTATTTTATAAGAATATCTAACAAAATCAAATAAAAAGACATTATTAGCGAAAAAAACGGAATATACCTAAGCTATAAAATTTTCCTCGAACGAGATCGAACGATCAAGACTAACTTATCAACAAATTTTCCAAAACTTATTTAAAAAAAAAAATCATTAGAAAGAAAAATTTCTTTTTAATCCTGATATATTTGTTAACTTAATCCTCATTCGTTCTCGTTCACCATGGAAATTTCTCACATTTCGAATAATTTAAATTTCACGCCAGACGAAACATGCTGCAAGATAAAAGTTAAACAAGCTTCGAAAAGAAAGCTTGTTAGAATTTATATTTTAATACGTATTTCCATGATTCATTGTTGTCTCGTGCAGCGTGATTCGGTGAAACATTCGTTTCCCTCTTTTTATACATTTAAAAATTCACGACTGATTTTCTTTCTGTTCATACAACACAACAAAATTTGCAGTCAATAGTCTGCACGCTACTATAACAAATTTTGAATAAACACGAATATTTTATTGTTGTTATTTGTTTTCTTATTATCCCATACCATTTTAAAACTCGCTAATTCGTGTTTGAAGCCAAAACATATGAAGGCATTTTATCATATTCGACGTTTGTACGCGTTATATATGTATGTAAATTAAGGCTGGGATATTACGGTGAATCGGATACTGCTTATCCCTATAAATGAAAACATGCTTTTTTTTTTCTTGTTCATTCGTCTCACCTTTATCTTTTTTTTTTTTTTTCCTTTTTTAAAATAAAAATGTTGCGAATCACATATAACGATACGTACAATTTTCTACAAAGAAAGCACGTGTGTGCGCGTATATTTGAGGCAGTATTCGACTCGAATAATTTTCTTTTCTCTGTTTACATTTTATCAAACTCAAAGCATAACCATATATTAAAAATCATAAACAAAAAAAACTAATATATATTACGCATTGGAAAGATAATCTTTCTTGTCTTTCTTTCTTTCTTTCTTTCTTCCCCCTCCCCCCTCCTCACCCTCCCTTTTTTATACTTTGCACGAACAGGTTATGCTTCAAGCGAATCATTTTAACAAAAAAAGTATTCCTTTTTTCGATTTCTTTTCAAATCAAACATCAGACATATCAAAACTCAATCTCCATTAAAACTAAACATGCTGCTCGTCCTAAACCAGATGTGAAATTGGTTATCGAGAAATCTGTGCGAGTTCAATTCGTGTGTGTGTGGCAAAGCGACGACCCATAGCTATCTTCTTATTTCATCCGGTATAGTTTTGTATTTCGTTAGTATAGCACAACGAAAAGACGTGAGTACTTCAATCTTGTTTTTTTCTATTATGCGGCATTCGGGAAAATTCAAGGCTCATCGCGCTGCCGCTGGAGAAAGATAGCCATAGGCAGTTAGAGGGCTACAGGCAAAGTTTAGATATAGCAGGCCCTGCAAAAATTGATATTCAAATCTACGTTTTTTTTTTCGTTTTATTCTGTTATTTTTTTTTTGTTTTTTTTTTTTTTTTTTAATTTTTTTAGCTTATAATTTGATCACCATCTTTTTTGTCTGATGATACAACTTACTCTCAACTTTTCTAATTAATGATATATTATAATATAATCATAACTGTGTTCAGATACAGATGTTAATTCTAATTATGACTAATCTGTAATCTTAAACTAATATCATTGAGAACACAGTGTTACTGAATCAATCTAAATGTTGCATGTTGTCCCTCTTCCCCAAGGTATACACTGTATGTGCATACAAAATTATATATGTAATTAAACATTATATTGAAACAACACACACCTTTGATTATAATTTTAAAGTGTAATGTACACAAATGTTCAGAACGATCTTTCAAAGAAATCCTTCATATATCAATATGATTTTATAATCTTATTCTATCCAATAATAAAGACAACGATATAGATCACCTATTGCTTTTGACTATGTATTCTTAATGAAATATCTTCTTGCATTTATTTTCTTTCATATATTTCTTTTCACTTTTATGTAAGCTAAATAAAAACTATTAATATATTTTATATTTATCAATAAATTTTAAGTAGTGCAGTCTTTATTATTGAAGAGGAAATTTAAAACGTATTTTGTGAAAATTTACAATACATCAACATGTATCTGATACTATTAAAAGCCATTACTATTAGCAAAATATTATGTAAGTTTTCAATGACATTAATGCAGCTTAAGCTGTTATTTTGTAAAGAATTTGATCTTAATTATTTTTTCACTTATTCATTTTTTTCTTTTTTTTTTCCTTTTTTTTTTTAATAACTTAATTATATTAATTTATATGTCTGAATGAAATAAATTAAGCAAAGATCGATTAAGTATCGGAAATGTACTAACATTCCTGGTGCTCAATCAATATGAAAATCTGTGATAATTTTTACTGCAATATAGGAAGTATAATTTTATTTTTGTGTGTAAAGTATTGTATATATTTATACATTTATACAATACTTTACATCAATTTTTAGAGAACAAATTGTTTCATAGTTGTTTTATATAATTCTATATATGTTTTTTTCTCTTGTTTTAGTAGTATTTCATTAATATATTTTTTTATGCTGGTTATTGGTCAATAGAAACTTACATTGTTACAATTAAAGCATTCCTGACAACTTTAAAATCGTCTATATGACGTCATTTCGAGATATGGAAAAGGAAATCTTGATGTTTGAGGCTGAGTAGTTTGCTGAGTATGAATAGGTGAATATGATGGCTGTTGAAGGAGAGGAGAATTTTGTTGATTTTGTAAAGGAGATAATGATTGACCAGGAGAATGTGAATGTAGATTTTGTGGATGGGAAAATGATAATGCATGATGGCAAGGAGAAGTCTGTGAATTCTGTACATTAGCTTGTGGTATATTCAAATTGTTTGTAATGTTAATATTGTTTAGTATGTTGAGACTGTTAGATACGTTATTAGGGATTGTCAAATTGCTTGGAATACTGAGTGCGTTTGGAATATTTGGTAAATTATGTGGAAGGCTTGTTGGTAAATTATGTGGAAGGCTTGTTGGTAAATTATGTGGAAGAGAAAGAGTAGCCGACGTAAGGTAATGTACGCTGAAAGATGGGGGCTAGTAAAGCCTCATACCTTCTTCAAATTTGACGATAAGAGGATCAACAGCTGGACTACCAATAAAACTGCCTGCTTCACTGCTTCCTCTACCTTGATCTGATTCTGTGCTACTTCCATCATATTTTGTGTCATCTAAATAATAAAAAAGACATGTTATAAAATTAAAAAAAACATCAATTTAAAAATTCAATAAATTATTAAACTATAATATACAATACATTTTAAAATCAAAAAATTAAAATAAAAATAAATAACAAAAATATTAAAAAATGAAAATATAATTTACTATTATATCACAATATTTCATTTCAATATAGATAAATAAATCAACAATATTTCAACAATATTATTTACAAACTATATATTGACATAAAAGCATTTTGAAATAGAAATATTTTGAAATAGAGAAATCAAATAGATATCTCTTTTTTTTTCTTTTATAATATAATATAATAATAGAAATATGTAATAATAATTATATGTAATAATATTTTTATAATATAAAATAATATACATAACTAAAATAAACAGATTATATCAAACATATTAAACATCACTAATTTATTTTCACATTATTATATATTTGCTATTATACATATAAAATATATTTAATGAAATTTTTTTAATAAGAATTTTTTTTATATTTATATAATATTTCATAATTGTGTTATTAAAATTAACATACTTTAGTGTTTAATTTTAAAATATCCTGTATCAATATTCTTACCTTGACGATTTGACCATTCTTGATTCATTGTTTTTGATGTTAAATCAAAATTTTTTACTGGATTAATAGGATCACTAGTAATTGTACGAGCATTCTTATGCATAAATGAACAGTGTGGTTTTCTGCAACCTCCAGGTTGTGTTTCCCAATAACATGGAATTGATTTACGATTTTTCTATTTAAACATATAAAAATAAAATATTAATCTATTTCAATTTTTAATTAATAATTTATCTTTTATTTCTATTTATGATATGCTTACTCTTAACTCCATGTGCCTAAAATTACAATGTTCATCAAGGCATTTACCCTGCTTCCAATATACACACATTGTTTCACAACCCAAGGCAGATGGTTCATGTCTAAATGGACAATTATCACCCTATAAATATAATTATAATATTAATAAAAATGGAAAATGATAAAAATATATCAAATATATAACAAATATAAAATAATAAAATATTAAAGAATATCAATAGTTGCAGTGCTCATATATAATGTAAATACTGCAAACTATAATTAAAATTGCTTTACATAATTTATATTATATATTTAAATTATAATTATTTATATATAATAATAAATACTATAACTTTTATTTTAATTAATATTAATATTATCATTAGTAATAAAAATTGTTTTAGATGTATAACAAAACAAACTGTATAAATCAATCTTTTAAAATAAATAATTTAAACTAATTATAAAATCAATGAATAAAAATAATCTTGTAGTATATAAATAATATAGTTTATTAATTATTTTAAAACGAAGGATATCGTAAAATCTGGCTACAACATGGCCGATATAACCTCGCGAATTCAATATATAAGAGAAACAATATGGAACAAATCTAGAATATTTAAAATTTTATGGTGACGATTAGATATAACAAATGTTTTGTGTATTTTCTTAATTGCAAATACACACCTTTGTGCACGTTGAATAATAGAAAAAATAACAGTCGGTATTCTTATGACTGTGCTCCATTTGCAAGAACTGATAGAAAGATGAATGATCGTGTCCTTCACTAAAAAAAGAAAATATTTAAACACATCACGATTAAAAATGACATTTGATATAGACAATATGAGAATGATCAGACGTGTTACCACTTTGTGCAAAATATAATTATAATTTTAGTGTATCGTGGTCAACCGCCAATTCCAATGTTATCAAAAATTAACTTGAATGTAGAATTTTCGCAAATACGAATATTAACATCGACGAAAAGAATTTTTCTTTCATTATGTATTAATTATATATTTATTACTTACGTGTGACGGCAGTGATTTCTTAGGTGACTTCTTTTTTGCCTCTTCGCTTTGACCCACACACTTAATCGACTCGCACACAGATTCAGGTAAATAGTTCGACCGTGGCACTTGTCGCCCCTTGCGTTGAAGACGCTATTCGCTACAGAAATGATGGCGGAAATTTTCGAGAATACACGAAAATGCACGACCATTTCCGCGCCATTTTTTAAATTTAGTAGTGTTATTAAGATAGCAACTATATAAATATATGTATATAAGTTTTATAAAATTATATATATATATAAAATAAATGATTAATAAATAAATATATTAAATTTAAACTTATTAAATTTATCTAAAATTTAAAAAAAATTAAATATTTAAGTCTTATTATTTTATTTACACTATAATTTTATAATAGATTTTTTTATTAAATTAATGTTTTTTATTGTAATATTTATTTGAAAAAAAACAAACAAATATTCATTAAAAATAATTCTTGAACTTATAAAATTCATATCTAATTATTAAAAAAATATTATATAAAATATCAATCAGTGAATATACATAAGTTTAAGATAATAATTTGCAATTAAAATACAATTTAAAAAAATAACGATTCCAAAATATAATAGAAATATTAAAATATTATTATATTTTAATTGCTATATAAATAATATTAACTATGATATTTGTATTATATCTATATTATTTATTTTCAAACTAAATTTATTTAAAATTTTAAATAAATTTATAAAAAAATATTTTTTATATTAATATAAATAAATAATAGTAAAATAAATAATAATAAAACTTTAAATATAAATCGAAAATAAATTTTGATACTAAATATATTTTAATACTGAAATTAGTAAATTTTAATTACATTTTAAATAATTAATTAAATATATAACTAATTATTTTGCAAAATACAAATATAACATTTTAATAATAATGTATATTTTAATCAACTAAAAGAATAAAAATAAACATAAAAAAATAAAAATAAAAAGAATAAAAAATCAACCAAAAAGAATAATTCCTTAAATATGTAAAATAAATATTTTAAAATCATTAAAAATAATTTCTCTTTTTCTTTCTTTCTTTTTCTCCCCTTCTTTTTTAAATTTTATTTCATTATATAAAGATAACTTATACGCAATCACATAATTTTAACTTTTAGTATTTTTAAATTACATATATAACTTAGAAGTAATTACATCATTTTATATACATAATGATATAAACATTTTTAATGAAGATATTTGAAGAAAAAAATAAAATATCAATACTTAGGAAGCACCTTTCAACAAAAACATTCAATTTCATTATGGAATATAATAATATTTAATAAAATACTTAAAAAAATTCAAGCATTGTTTCAATATTATCAAATATTAATAATATATAATTTTATAAGAAAAGATATAATGAAAAATATTATAAGTAAAACTTGAATATTTCATTATAATTAAAAATATTTCATTATAATATATATGTTCAAATTTGATGAAAATATATAAAACATTTGCACTTAATTTTGTTACATACTCAGATATGTAAGATATGTAAATACAGTCATAAATATAGTTCATTCCACTATAATATGTATAATATATTTTCATACAACAAAATCAAATGTTTCTTTTATATATTGTTTTTTACATATATGCTCCATAATATTTTAATTTGATATAATATATAAAAATGATCAAAAATTTTTCAATGATAAAATTTGTATATAAAATTTAAGAAATATAATATAATAAAACTAGAACTTATATTTAGTCATAAAAGCAAAGTAATAAAATTTGAATCTAATCAAAAGTTAGATTCATACTGTTATTCATATTATTAAATATTTTTGTTCAATTATAATTATAAATGTTTAAAAATAGTAACAAAAATATTATAGAACATAAATATGATTTTCATAATAAGTAAATATTGGATATATTATGCAAATATTTTGCATAATAAGTAAATATTAATAAATTCTCTTATTGATACGTCATAATGTGTATTAATTACAAAATTTTTTAAAAATTACGTTTATTCAAAATTTAATATATCATAATAGAAAAGACTGTTTTTTTTTTTTTGGAAAAAATTTCATAATATGAAAAGAATATAATTATCATTAATACACATTAGAAAAATATCATATTTTTTTACAAAAGGATTGACCAGCAATCCATTTTAGAAAATAAATTTACAGTAACAAATAATGAAATGTGAAAATATAATAATACATTATGAAAAAATTAATTCATTATAATTATATTATTAATTATTTATAATATAGCCAATATTATTAATATTTAAGATGAGATGATAAATATGTATATTCTTAATTTAATGAAAATACAGAAAATGACATAATAACATCAATTTTACAGTCTTATCAAAACATTCCAAATTATTACTTTATATTGTATATTATAGTCATTTCTTTAACAGTTCAAATTTATCACGTAATTAATTAAATCACTGTGTTTATGTATATATGTATATATCTCATACATTAATACAAACGATTCCTCTTTACTGATTTCAAGCTAGATAATCTATTTGTAGGCTCGAATAATTTACCATTCAATATTCATTAATATCTCATATTTATTTCATTATATTACTGTACTTTTCCATTTGGTTAAAAGTTATATAACATTTATGATGCGAAAAAAAAAAACATTAGTAAAAAATTTATATTCAATTCTCTGTTTTTAAACTAGCTATAAAATCAAATATATATTGCAATAATTTGACTAGCATACTATAATTTATGTCGTGTACATTTTGTGCACGCAACAAATATAATATATGTGCAAATATTAACAATTTCTTATGTACATTATTCTTTAACGTACGTATTATCGCATATGCATATTGAGAATGCAATAAATACGCATATACGTACGAATACATCATATTTGTGTCATCAATTTCATTATCTGTTTTATTAATGAAAATGCTAAACATTGACTACTATTGCCATTATTTATCGTCTTGTACTTGCTTATAATAAAAAAAAAAGTACATTTCACTTAAAAACATCTTATAGAACTGAATATTCTTTCAATGACAGCACTATTAAATAGCTGAACGGCAGTTACTAGCATAAATATGATAATATAGAAAAAACAAAATAAACTCAAAAAAATATAGTCTGTAACTTATTATAGTAAATATATTATTTATCATATCATTCATATCATTCTTTTATAAAATTTTATAATAATCCTAACATATTAAGATTGTATAATAATAAAAATCTAAGCATTCTATACGATATATTTTTTCTTTCTTTAGTTAGTTTTTTCTTTCTTTAGTAGATTAAATTTAAATGCTAGGAAAACATATTAATTCAATTGTATGAACTTTTCATTTTTAATAATATGAAAATTATTTAATAATTATATTATTATGACTTATTCGAATTACAACATTTGGAACAATCAAAACAACTAGTATGCTATCTCTTTGATGACCAAGATGCACGAGTACCACTGCCAAGACCACTTCCAATTATTCGATTTTCAAGCTGTGTTATAGTTTCTTGTAAGGCTCTTTTTTCCTTCAAAAGTAATTGTATATCTTCTTGTGCTGCACTTAAATGAGACTTTATTACATTAGATTCTTCTTTTATACGTATCAATTTTGCGTTTTCTTCTGATAATTTCTCCAAAGCATTCAGACGACTTCGAAGTTGTTCATTATCTAATTTTAACTGCTTACTGGACTGTCTTAAAACATTTAATTCCATTTCGTGATTTATATTTTGAGCTATTTGAGTATCATTACTTGTGAGTGTCACAAGAGAATTACTTCTACTCAATAGGTTTACTAAAAATAAAATTTCATTTAATTAGATTAGATTAATAATAAAAATATATAACAAAATAACTTATAGTAATTTAACATAAAAATTGTGTATTTCTAATAAAAAATTGCTCTTAGTAAATTAAGAAATTAAATATATTTTATTTAAAATAGATGATGAATAATTTTTATAATCTAAACTATTACTAAAAGATATTTTTACTATCTAAATTATTTGTGAACAATAAGCAGTGTTATAAAATAACATAACAGTGTCTTATATTTTATGTTTTTATACATTATTCACTCATGCTAATTTATAAATTGCATACTTTTTAAAAATTTTTAAGCATATATAATAAGCAAAAATTATTTTCTTTTAATTTGAAGAAAAGTAAAACATGCCTAATTAAATGCAAATCTAAAATTCTATTTATTTAAAATTTAGATTAAACAATTATATCAAAGCAGCAAATGCTACTACTAATTTTCTAATTGTTTTATATAAATGCTCACATTAGAAAGGCCATCTGAATGCAGAGAATATAATTGCACAATGTATAATATTCATTTTAAAAAAATAAATAAATTTTTTAAAATTTGCCACTTAAATATACTCTTAAAAAATGTACTGTATTATAAAGTTACTTTACTACACTATATTAAATATTATATTTCTTTTCATAAAAATAATAAGTGGCGAATAATAATAATAAAATAATCATTTTCTATTGTTACTTACCAACAGGTTCAATATGAAAAACTCCATTTGCATCTCGTATTACCTTTAGTTTTGCAATATTTAAATCTATAGGAATTGGTCCTGGCGAAGTTATATTATTCGGAGGACGATCTTCATTTAAGCGCAATGATATACTCTCTAAATATATCTACAATAAGAATTATAAAATATAATAAAATAAAGTATTATAAAGTAAAATATATAAAATATTATAAAATAAAATATTATAACGAATAATCTTATTTAAAATATTAAAATTAATAAATGATATAATAAAATTCGATATACCTGCAATGGTATCGGTCTAGGTATAATTTCATCTTCAGTTAAGTCTGTAAGTCCACTTACTGAACTCATAGACAAGGCCATTGATATATTGGTAACTATAACTTCTAATTTATCTTCAAATAAATCCAAAACACTTTGTTTATTATGAACATCAATACAAACATCTACATCTTGCTCAGTTATATTATTTTGATTTTCATTTCGAGATAAATATAGATTTTTATTATTTATAGTTCGACTTGCTTGAGACAATTTCCAAGAATCTGATTTGCATTTTAAATCATGATCCAAACGTAGTTTAATGCATGATCCACAATTAGAATCTGAAGGTAATTCAACCCAACCTCGAGATCGTGCACT